TCTCTGCAAGAGCCTGCGCCTGCAGCCGTGCTGCGCCTCGCCCCTTGCACCCTCCCGCTTCTGCCCTGGAGCTCGTTCCCTGACTTTTGCTTTTTCCTTTACCACCATTTAGTAATTTAGTCATTTACCACCAGCCCCTCCCGCCCCTCCCGCCCGCCTGCCGCAGGTGTCCATCCAGGAGCTGTCCAGTGCCATGACCTTCCTGCGGGAGCAGATGGGAGAGGAGGAGCTGCGCCACCTGCTGGAGATGCTGAGCATGGAGGCGGGTGAGGCGGGCGGTGGCGGCTGGTGTGGCCTGCTGGGGCGTGGCTGGCGGGGCTGGCGGCGGGCTGGCGGGCTGGGGCTGCTTGGCTGCCAAGGCTGGCAGGGAGCCGTGGAGAGCGGCAGCCCCGGTGCCGCAGTGCCCGCAACTCTCAAGAGGGGTCCCTGAGGCGGCCTTGTTGCTTGTGCCTCTCTCTGCGCCGCAGGCATCGACGGCGGCATCGACGTGTGCCGCCTCATGGAGCTGGCTGACGAGGCGGAGGAGGAGGAGGAGGAGGAGGCGCAGAAGGGCACCGCGCTGCCGCAGTGAGGCAGCCGGCCGCTGTGCCGCATGCCGCCACACGGCATGGGCTTTTGCGTTGGCGGCCTGGCGCCTCCTTACAAGCACACCAGTGCCTGGGCTGGCCCGGGTGCACCGCCGCCAGTGCAGCAGACCAGGGGGATGTGCTCTCTTTGTCCAGGGCTTTCCAGAGGTTCCTTTTTGGGTCAGCTTTGCGCCTGCCGTCGTGCGCTTGGACCCATGCGGCACTAGCTGATGTGATTTGTCATTTTGATCGCTACCCTCTCCTCGCTTCCATTCTGCCCGCACGCGCCCATTTTGGCGCCGATTCAGTGCCCAGGGACCATCGGCGATTCTTCTCTCTTTTGTCGCAGCCTTCCCCTGCCAATGCGCATGATATGCTGTAACATTGGCATTGTCCAGCCACGGGGTTTAGGAAGTCTGATGCTGTGGTGGCATGGCAGAGACAGCTGGGAGAGGAGAGCAGCGGCGGCGGCGGCAATTGGACAAGGCCGCTCGCCCAGCAGGCACAGCACATGCCTGCAGAATAAAGTATTTACGTGCTCCCCGCCCCAGTTGCTGACTTCGGCAGGGTTGCCTGCCCGCCTGTTGAGCTCCGCGAGCCTGCCCGTCCATGGGACGGAACTTGCCGGCCATGGAACTGGTTGCCATTAGTCAGGCTTCCGCGCTGCGCTGAACGTCTGATGGCATCCACCGGAGCCCTGATTGCTCTGGCGGTGCTGGCAGCGGCAGGCGGCGTGGTCGGTGGTGCGCCGCCTCCCCCAGGCGCTGGCGGTGCCGCCCGGCTGTCGGAAGGCAAGGCTACGGCAGTCTGGCAGTTTGCACAGCTGCTCTGATGGGTTCACAGAGCAGCAGGGGGGCTGATGACTGCCGGGCTGCAGGCTCAGTGCACGCCCCCTGTTGTCCGCCGCTGTTCAGAGGCCATCATGCGCAAGCTCCGCCAGTCCATGAAAGGCCTGGACGGCGCATCCGGGTGGGCCCCTGACGACTCAACCCACCACTGCCATTGGTCCCGCGTCAAGTGCAACTCGCGGGGCCAGGTCATCGTCTTGTGAGTCTGTGCGGGCTGGCTGCTGGCCACCTGCCCTTTGGGACCTACTGCACTGCCTGCCTCTCCTGCCTGCCTGCGTGGCAGCCTGGCAGCCCCTGCCTGGCGCTGCCATGCGCATCGATCGCCCATTGCATCCTTTCTGAATGTTGCATTGTGCGTGGTTTGCCTGCACCTGGGAGGGGAGCAGATACTTGGCAGTAGTCACCGACAAGCAGCCGCGGCATCGGCGGCGGCAGGGGCCGCCTCCGCAGCCGCAGCAGCACAACACCAGCGCCGGCGACGAGCGCGGCGCGCGCCGGGCCTGGCTGCTGCTGCCCGAGCTGGCACAGCTGCAGCAGCTGGAAGATCTGTGGCTGTCCTCTTACGGCGCTCCGCTGCCAGACGGCATCCCTGCCGAGTGGCTGGCGCCTGGCGCCTTCCCGCGCCTTGGAACGTGCGCCTTGCAGCTGCTTGGGCAGCCCACGCGGGGGCATCTGGCACGGCTGCCTGGACGAGCATCCAGCGCCTGCTGGTGGCAGCCCGCCTGAAAGAAACTGAAACCCGCACCAGCCTGCCTGCAGGCTGAGCCTGGGGGCCCCGAGTGTGGGTGGCGGCCTGCCCTACATCCACCCCGGCGCCCTGCCCCGGCTCCAGACCCTGTCCCTAGATCTGCCAGAGCTTGCCCCCTCCACCCTGCCCGCCAGCTGGGGCGCCGACCCGCGGGTGCTCCCCATGCTGCGCACGCTGTCGGTGCACGCGCCGCTGGCGGGGCCGCTGCCGGCGGCCTGGGCTGGCGGCTTCAAGGGACTGCGCCAGCTGAGTGTGGTCAACACCGCAGCACCAGGCTACCTCCCAGCCCCCAACAGCAACCAACCCGCCGCAGCGCACAAGCCGGCAGCCGCCCCTGCGCCTGCGGCTGTGCCCGCCGGGCCGCGGGGGCTGCCTCCGGAGTGGGCGCTTGGCTTCAGTGGCCTGCAGTCGCTGCAACTGTCGGGGCTGGACCTGCCGGGCTCGCTGCCAGCGGCCTGGGTGGAGGGAGGCTTCCCGCAGCTGGCCATCCTGTGAGTGCGCGCCAGCGGAGCAGCCTGCCTAGCGGCCTGCAAAAATCCAAGCCGAGTGTCTGCCCTCCTGCTTGCGCTCCTCTGCCTCCCCCGCCAATCTCTTGGTGGTGGTGGTAGCCCGGGCTATCCCCCCCCCACCCACCCACCCACCCACCTGCTTCTGCTGCAGGAGCCTGCATGGCATTGGGCTGACGGGGACGCTGCCGCCGCAGCTGTTCCGCATCCATCCGAGGCTCAGCAGCCTGCTGTTGACTGGCAACCAGCTGAGCGGCACGCTGCCCCAGGCCTGGGCCAGCGCCAAGGTGGGTCAGCTGCTCAATTTGCAACATCACACCACAGCACGGCAGCACAGTGCAGTGCATTGCGATGCACTCCATCACGCTGCCAGTGTTGCAGTACACCGCAGTGCGGTGCTGTGTTCCTGACTGGGTGCGAATTGCAAGCTCGTGCTCTTGCCCATGCCGCTGGCAACCTTTGATGCTAAGCCTGCTTGTGCGAGTCGCAATCGCTGTTGATGATAATCACGAGGCACGATGCGCAACTTGCATGCAGGCCTCGCAGCTTGCCCTCTCTCGCAACGCCCTCACCGGGCCCGCCTTCCCGCCCGCCTGGCTGGAGCCCGGGGCGCTGCCCAGGCTCGCAAGCCTGCTGCTTGCGGGCAACCCTGGCCTGACGGGCTCCCTGCCGCCTGGCCTTGCCTGGCCCCTGTTTCAAGAACTGTGAGTGGCTAGGCTGCTGAGATGCCCGCTTCCAATACCACAGCCCGCCCCATGTTGCGTGCAGCTGACATGCTGCGCCGGATGCAGGGAGCTGAGCGGTACGGCCGTCACAGGTGCCATCCCTGACAGCTGGTGCCAGGCGCATTTTGCTCAGCTCTTTCGAAGCCTGTGAGTGGCATTGCGCATCGCGCTGCCAGCCTTCCGTGGCTTTTGCATGTTGTCCGTCTGGGGGGCGCCATACATGTTGGCTATTGTGTGTGGCAGACCGTGCCTGCCTGTGTGTGGTTCCTCGCTGCTGTGCAGTGCGATCAACCAGGCTGCCATGCAGCCCTGCGCACCCCCATGTGCGGCCCGCTACATGCCGTCACTTTTGATTGATAAACTGCTGCCCAAGGTCTGCACCAAGAGCTTACACCACATGAACACTGCAGTGGTGGCCAGCCTGGCCACCCTGCTCCCCATGGCGGCCATTGCGGCGGCAGCCACGGTTGGCCGCCTGCTGTGGCGGCGCAAGCTGCGCCGGAAGGCGGTTGCTGAGCGGCTGGAGACACAAGGCCTGCTGCAGCGAGCTGGGAGGGCGGAGGGCGGCAGGCGCGGCGGCTCGGGGGACAGGAAGCGGGCGCGGCTGACGGCCATGCTGCGTGCCCAGCTGGGCAGCGACCGCCGCCGCGGCATCGAGATGCTGCCCATAGAAGTGCTGCCCAGCGGCCTGGCCCACCAGCTGGGCGTGCTGCAGGACCAGGAGAAGGAAGCAGGCTCAGAGGCAGCTCTCCTCACGAGGGCAGGTGCAGCAGACTTGGAGCAGGGCATCGCGGCGCAGCTGGCCCGGGCTGCAGATTCTGCTACCACCAGCCAGGCTTGGGGCCCGGTGGCACCATCCCTGCGCATGTCGGCTCGGGATCTGGAGGTGCGGCGGGCTGGTGGCTGCATGCCTATTGCTGACTGGAAGCCAGCTCGTGTCGAGCTGCTTGCTGCCATGGCTTCAGCTGGACCAGGCGCGCCCAGCAAAATAATTCGTTTCACTGCAAAACTCCTCACTTTTGCTGCGCCGCCTTGCTGCCTGCTGCCCTGTATCGCTCCGCAGTTTGTGGCGGATGCCGATGGGCAGCTGCTGGAGCTGGGGGAGGGTGGCCATGCTGTAGTGTACCTGGCACACATGCAGGGGGTGGAGGTGGCGGTGAAGGTGGGAGCTCTGTACTGCGGCTTGCCGAAGCTCTCCTGGTGCCCACTATGGGCGGCCGCTGTGCCGTTTCCAAGCTATGTGTTGCCTGCCCGCAGCGCCGGCTGATCACCTGCCTGCATGCCTGTCGTCTTGCCCATGCAGGTGTTTGAGCTGCAGCCGGTGCTCGACCCGCACACGGCGTGGCGGGAGGTGTCGCTGCTGCGCCAGTGCGCCCACGCTCGCATCGTGCCGCTGTTTGGAGTGGCACTCAGGGTGGGTGGCCGCCGGTTGTGGTGGGACAGGCGTGCGACATGAGGCGATACAGTAGGGGCCTTGTGTGCCACAGCCAGCATTCATGTCCCATCCTGCGTCGTGTACCATTCTTGCAGGGCTCGCTGCTGATGCTGGCGATGGAGCTAATGCGGGGCGGCAGCCTGCGGGTGGCGCTGCAGGATGCAGAGCTGCGGCGGCGCCTGCGCTGGGAGGCGGGGTGAGGTCTGGACGTGTGTGTATGCATGGGCTGGCGTGGCCGGAATCAGCGAAGGTGTGATGATGCATCTGTTCTGCCCGCTGCTGTGCAGGGGCCGGCAGGTGGCGCTGGATGTGGCGGAAGGGCTGCACCACCTCCACACAACACAGCGAGTCATGCACGGCGGCATCGAGGCGGGGTGAGATCCTGCAGCTTCCCTGCAGCGTGCTTAGCAGCAGCCAGCTGCCCAACCTTCAGTCACCCCACCCCACCCCAGTGCCCAGCCCTCCTTCCACTGCGCACCTCTCCCCTGGAATGTCCCCATGCAGCAATGTGCTGCTGGACAGCGATCTCCGGGCCTGCCTTGGAGACATGAGCATGGCGCGGATGGTGGGCAGCAAGGCACGCAGCGCGGCGGGCTTCTGCTGCACGCACGCAGGTGCGTCACCGCGCTGCACCCCTGATGCAGCGGGCTGCTGGTTGATCTGCATGCAAGCGGCATGCTTGACAGCCTGCACCAGATGCTTGGATTTTGATCCCACCAGGGTCTTGCTCAGCTGCGCCGCCTCCCCATCCCGCCCCTGCAGCCCCCGAGCAGCTGATGGGGTACCGCTGCACCCTGGCGGCCGACATGTACGGCTTTGGCATCCTGCTGGTGGAGCTGACCACTCAGTGCGTGGTGGACAGGCGCGGCGAGTGGCGCCTGCCACGCGTGCCGGACGAGTGCCCTCAGGTGGGTGCCGCGGTTGGCAGGGCAGGCCCCCCACAGCGACAGCGGCGCTGCCTGCGCATGCCCGCTACCAGCCCTCCCCTCTGCTCCCGCCTCCATGCAGGCGGTGCTGGCGCTGATCGAGGACTGCGTCGTGGCCGACCCGCTGCGCCGCTGCACGGCGGCCGAGGCGCTGCGGCGGCTGGAGGTGCTGGACAGTTGCTGATGCTGTCCTCTGTATTTTTTTATTTCAGTTAGTGCTACTCCTCCTGAAATTTTGTATTTCATGCATCATTGTCGTTTGTGTTGAACCAGCATTTCCACCTTCTTCAAGCGGCGGCGGCAGCGGCATGGCGGTACGGTGCCATTTCCTGCCCCCACAAAAGCAACGCGCGAGACTGCGCTGCCGCAAGAGCTCAACTGCTGGCTTTGCGCCCCGTGCAGCGCTCGTTTGCCCCGGCCGCTGCCAGGTTTGCTATAGGTCGTTTCTGTGGCCACTTTCAGCGTGTCGGCAAAAGCTCGTTCGGCTTTTGCGTCGTTGGAGAGCGGCGCGCCGCCAGCCCGGCCCTGTAGGGAGCGCCGCCGCTACCGCCCCTCTGCTTGGCAGCGGCGCCTTGCGTTCGGAGCGGGGGCCAAAGGTTGGAGCTATGTGCAGCAGCGCATTGCCTAGATGACAGATGTGGGGCGCCCCACTTGCGCCCTAGCCATGGCAGCAGCAGCACTCCTTGTCCTCGCCGTCGCTGCCGCCGGCGCTGGTACAGACGAGCGCGACAACTTGGCCCAAGGTGCTCCGCCCGGCATCGCACGCCTGCCAGCCTCGTGTGACTGTCCCACGCCGCACGGGGGCCGCATGCAGCAGGCAGCATGCCCACTTCCTGCCTCTCCGGCCTCCCGCAGAGGCACTGGTGATGCAGGGCATACGGCAGGCGCTGGCCGGCGCCGGCTCGCTGCCTGCCGCCTTGGAGGGCTGGTCGGCGCCCTCTGACGCCCTCCACCAGTGCTCCTGGAGCTATATCACCTGCGACGAGGGCCAGCGCATCGTCAAAGTGTGGGTGCCCAGCTGGGTTTGGCGCGCGTGCGTGCTTGCGGCAGCTCGTCGACGCCGAGTGTGGGAGGGCGCGGCGTGGCCGTTGCTATTTGGCCAGCCGTTGCAGACCCAGCAGCAACGGCGCCGCTCCCCGCCGCCGCGCCCGCAGGATGCTGCTGAGCGGTTTCCCCGCGCGGGCGGCCAGCCGGGACATGGTGGCCGTGGCCTCCGCGCTGCACGGCCTGGCCCGCCTGCGCCAGCTGGCAGACCTGGGGCTGGGCCGCATCTTCGGGGCGCCGCTGCCGAGCAGCCTGCTGCAGGCCTGGGTGCAGCCGGGCGCCTTCCCGCGGCTGCTGAGGTGAGGACCGCCGCCCGCTGCAGGCTGCGCTGGACCGCACGTTGGACCGAACGCTGCGCTGGGTGGCAGCAGAGTCGTTTGACTTTGCCATGGATGGCAACTCAAACCAAAACTGAAAACACCGGGTTCAAATTTACCCTCCTGGGAGGCCACAATTTGCTGAGTGTGTGCCCCCTGGGGGTCTACCCACGCCTGCTGTGCCCGCCGGCTCTGCTGCAGGCTGCGCCTGGACTGCGCGTGGGAGGGCCCGCTGCCCGACATCCGCCCCGGCGCCCTGCCGCAGCTGCAAGCCCTGTCCCTCGGCCTGGACGAGCTGCACGCCAGCCTGCCGCCCAGCTGGGGCGCCGACCCGGCCACGCTGCCCTCGCTGCAGCAGCTGGCCATCCAGGTGCAGGTGGGGGGGCCGCTGCCGCGGCAGTGGGCCTCTGGCTTCCGCTCCCTGCGGCGGCTGTCCATCCGGGACACCTCGGGATTCGTGGAGGGCTCCTCGCCACCTGCAGCCGGCTCCTCGGCAGCAGCAGCGGGGCCGCCGCCGCCGCCGCCCCCCCCACCCGTGCTCAAGCACCCGCTGCCGCCGGAGTGGGCCCGCAGCTTCCCGCGGCTGGCCAGGCTGGCCATCGCCGACCTGCCAATGGCTGGGTCCCTGCCAGAGGCCTGGGCTGCCGGAGGCTTCCCCGCGCTGTCCACGCTGTGAGCACACAGCTGGTGGGGCAGGTGCAGGGCGGTGCTGAACCTTGGGCCTTCCTTCGGCTTTCCCTGTAGCCGCAGCACAGCTGCCATCGCCTGAGCACTGCTGTGGTGCTGACCGCGGCTGCCTGCCGCAGGTCGCTGGCCAACCTGAGCCTCACCGGCACCCTGCCGCCATACCTCTTCCTGAGCCACCCGGAGCTGAAAGTGCTGCGGGTAGGTGTGGGGCTAGCTTGTGCTGGGCTCGATTGCACTAGGTGTGAGCTGGGTTTGTATGCCATGCAGCGCCAGCTATTGGCAGGCAGCAGGCGGCGGAGCATTCCCGTGCAGGAGGGCCTGAGGCTGGCATGCATCAGCCGTGTTTTGCCTCAGGGCTGCCGCGCCGCGCCGCTGTGGCGCCTCTCTCTGCTGCAATGCAGCTGCAAGACAACCAGCTGGCCGGGACGCTGCCAGCCGACTGGGCAGCATCCGAGGTGGGTGCCCGACAGCCAGCATGCCACGCTGGCCCTGCTGCTGGCTTCTCCCATCCGCTGCTACCACAGAGCAGCAGCTGCCGTGGCAGCAGCTGCTGTGGAGTCGTGTCGGTCGCTGGCTGTCACGGGGAGCAGCAGCTGGCTCTGGCGAGGCGCAGCTGAGCACCCCTCCTGCGTACCTCCCGCCCTGGCTGCAGGTGCAGGAGCTGATAGCAAGAGGCAACCGCCTGGCGGGCCCTGCCTTCCCGCCCGACTGGCTGCTCCCGGGGTCGCTGCTGGGGCTGCGTGTGCTGCTGCTGGGCGGCAACCCGGGGCTGACTGGCACGCTGCCTGCCAGCCTGGACTGGCCCATACTCACCGACCTGTGAGTGGTGTGGTGGGGCCGGGCAGGCATTCCATTACCCAGCCAGCTTCCAGTGACCAGCGTCCTCTGAACAGCTGGAAGCTGGGCAGGCACCGCTTGCTTCGTGCGCCACGACGCTCTCATGCCCTCGCTCCGACTCTTGCCACGATGGGCGGCGCCCCCGCTTCTTGCTGGGCTGCCTGCTGCAGGGGGCTGAATGGGACGGCTGTGACTGGTGCCGTCCCAGACAGCTGGTGCCAGGCACCGTTTGCTGCAACGCTGACGCACCTGTGAGCCGGTTTGCTGGCTCCCTGGCATGCAGCCGTGTGTGGTGTGCTCAGTGTAGTGACAAGGCCAGCAACAAACAAGGGGTGTACAAACGGAGTGGAACTGTATTGTGGGACCGACGGTTGAGGTGTGGGTTTCCAGGGTCCCCCTGACTCACTTGCGGCGGCTGCGCCTCTGCAGCAGCGGCATTGGCACAGCGGCGGACGCTTCGCTGCCGCCCTGCGTGGCACATGACATGCCCAGGCTCGACTTGGAGCCTCGACTTGGCGCCTCGGCAGGCAACCTGACCCGCACCCCACACTCACACAGCCGCAGCGCAGCAGCCTTGAGCCTGGCGGCGCTGCTGCCTCTCGCAGCGGCGGCGGCGGCTGGCGCGGCAGTCAGGGTGCTGTGGCGGCGCAGGCGGCGGCGCCTGCGCTCCCAGCGGGCCAACGACGGCGAGGCGCTGCTGCAGATGGGCAGTGCGGAGCTGGGCCTGCAGGCAGATGCGTGGCCAGGTGGCAGGCCCGCTCTCAACAGGCGACTGCGGCTGGCTGCTCTGGTCAGGGCAGAGTCAAATGGCAACATTGAAATGCTGCCACTGGCAGGGCTGCCAGCTGCACTGGCACACCAGCTTGCATCGGGGCAGGGGAGCGCCGCAGCAGGCAGTATGGCGAGCCAGGAGTGGGAGGCAGAGCACAGCAGCCTGCCGGGATTGGAAGCAGAGTCTCTGCTGCCTGGCGGGGATGCCGGCGCTGGCGCAGGCGCAGGCCCGGCACTCAGCACCGGGCGAGGCAGCAGCGGTGACAGCAGCGGGAGGAGCAGCAGCGGCATGCCGCCGGACTGTGGCCGGCGCTGGGGCCTGGAGACCGCCTCCCTGCAACTGCAGCTGGGGGCGCTGGAGGCACGTGGTGCTGTGCCCTCTCTTGGCCCTGTGTCAGGGAGCATGACAGATGTACCTGGCCAGCCTCCAGCCATGGCCCCACCCACCAACATATGCACTCCCTCCACCCTGCACGTGCAGTTTGTGGCGGATGCTGATGGGCAGCTGGTGGAGCTTGGGGAGGGTGGCCATGCCGTGGTGTACCTGGCGCGGCTGCAGGGGGTGGAGGTGGCGGTCAAGGTGGGTACAGGCGCAGCATGGCTGGCATGGCTGCCAAGCTGGCTTGGCTGGCAAAATATTTCAGCCAGACCCACTTATTCCTCCCATCTCCTGAAGGTGACGGAGCTGCTGTCTGGCGTGGAATCACAGAGCATTTGGCGGGAGACGGCCCTGCTGCGGCGCTGCATACACGAGCGCATCGTGCCGCTGTACGGCGTGGCCCTCAAGGTGCACGAGGCTGTGTTTGTAGCAGCGGCTGGTGTCAGGACAGCAGGATGGTCGGGTGGTCTGCAGTAACGTCGGCCCTAAGCTGCACCACACACAGGCAACCTCCCTCGCCCTGCTGCCCTTGGTGCCTGCAGGGCTGCCTGCTGATGCTGGCCATGCGGCTGATGGAGGGTGGCAGCCTGCGAGCCGCCCTGCAGGATGAGGGCCGGCGGGAGCGCTTGCACTGGGCACAGGGGTGCGCTGCTTGTGCTCTACCATGCTGCAGCAGCCGAATCGCACAGAGAGCCGGCAACACTAGCCTGCCTGCGTTCTCCACGCATCCCTGCTTCCGCAGCGGGTGCCAGGTGGCTGCTGACGTGGCGCAGGCGCTGGACCACCTGCACCGCCAGCTGGGCATCATGCACGGCGACCTCAGCAGCGGGTGGGCACAGCTGCTGCGTGTGCTGCTTGGCACTGCTCCTGTGCATTTCATTTGCCCTCCCTTTTCCCCGTCCTCTCCTGATCATGCCCCTGTCGCCCCTTGCCTTCCCCCCAGCAACGTGCTGCTGGATGGCGGCCTGCGGGGCCACCTGGGAGACCTGGGGCTCGCCTTCTCGGTGGCCAGCGCCGCGCCTGGGGGCGGCGCCCGCGGCTTCTGCCTCACCCACGCAGGTGTTGCTGTGTGGGCTAGCAGGGGGAGCAGTCTGATGTTTTTGCCCCTGTTTGTGTGGCAGCCAGCCAAAGGCCCAGCATGCAATAAAACGCCCCTACCCCCCTCCTACTGCCGCAGCCCCAGAGCAGGTGCTGGGAGAGCGGTGCACCTCTGCTGCCGACATGTATAGCTATGGAGTGCTGCTGGTTGAGCTGACCACGCGGCAGGCGGTGCACCGGCGTGGCACCTGGCACCTGCCGCACGCGCCCGAAGAGTGCCCGCAGGTGGGGGGTGGCCTGCTGCCGCTGTGACCGCCTGCTTGTTTGCCTGTGCTCCTGCGCATGGCTCCCTTTCCCACTCCCCTGCCCCTTTGCCCGCTCTGGCCGGTGCAGGGCGTGCTGGCGCTGATAGAGGCCTGCCTGTCACACGCCCCGCGGGCCCGCCCCACTGCGGCAGAGGCGCTGCAGCGGCTGCGGCAATTGGAATGGGGAGGGGCATGCTGAGCGCCTTCCGACATTTCACACCGCCTTGCGCAGCTCCGCATCAGTCCAGCTCCATGCATTTCCTCTCACCACATGTGTTTGTTGCATGCATGTGGAAACCGACCTCCTGAGTTGTGTTAAGAATAGGCACACTAGGCCAGGCCGTGGCAGCGGCTGCTCCGCCGGCTCAGGCTGGGCGAGGAAGTGGGCATTGCAGTGGCTCCAGCACCCTTCCACGCGCCTTAAACACCCAGGTTTAATCCCAGCCAACCCTGGGTCCCTCGGGTTGCCCCTAGGACGCAAGCCCCAAGGCACCTTGCTCAAGGGACTCCTCAACATTTCAGGCATGTGCCTTATTCCTCCCGCTCCTCAGCCCCTGGGGTGGGGCTGGCTCCAAGGAAACGACCTTGTCGCCTTGCATCAAGTGCATTGCCCTATTATCGCAGTCCGGACGGCAATTGGCAGCCCCTCCTACTGTCCCCCTCTTCCCGCCGCCAGCTCAGCTTTCAGACAGACGCAAGCCGCCGCGCCCCTTCCCGCAGCCCCTGCAATTCTGCCGCCGCTCTCTCCCATGGCACAGACACACGCAGATTGAAGGTCGACCCAAAGATTTGCCCTGCAGCGGCGTTGCCCATGAGTCGGCAGCGCCGCAGCCAGTGGCTGGCCCTGCGGGTGCTCCTGCTGGCTGCGGTGGCTGGGAGTGCAGCAGGTGCGCCTGGCTGCGGTGTACTTGAACTGCGGCGCCTAAGCCTGCTGCCGCGCCTGCCCAAGCGGGAGGGGCGGGGGAGGGCAGCTACGCTGCAGGAAGGCGGCCCAGCGGCAGCACGAATGCATTCCGGGGCCCTGAGGCGCGCGCGGGAGGCCACGACCTGCCTGCCAACCGCACCCGCCGCCGCAACCGCGCCGCCGCCGCGCCACGCCTCGCAGGCGAAAACTGCGTGGGCAGGGCGGGCACCTACCACAACGTGGGCTCCAGCTTCATGGATGGCGCCGACGACGTGATTGAGCTGGATGTGCAAACGGTTGGGGACGCGATGGAGGCATGCTGTGCCGCATGCACGTCCCGAGTGCAGGGCACCGAGCGGTGCAAGGCCTGGGATACTTTCGTGGACCCAGAGCTCAACATCTTCCTGTGCCAGGTGCGGCCCGCGGCGCGGCGGAGGCCCCGGCAGCACGGGCGGCGGGGGCCAGCCGCAGCGGCGGCGGCAGCGAGAGCACGTGGGTGCTGGGCGGGCCGCTGCGGGCAGGCGCACGCATGTCAGAGTAGCTAGCTGGGCAGCTGCTTCCGGGGTTCCGGGGCGGCTGGGCGCCGTGCCTGGAGGCGTGCAGCCGCGCTGCTGCCCACCACCTCGCCAGCCCGCCCCGTATGCTGCGTTTGCGCTCATGCCACCAGAGCGCCACCAGAGCGCCACGTCAGCACTCTTCCCTTGTCCTCGCTCACTCCCTCCCTCCCTCCCTGCGCCCTGCAGCACTACATCAGCTACACGCCCAACATCCTCACACCCGGCTGCGACCCGGAGTCTGGCTTTGGCCTGCTGAGCTCCCTTGACGCCGCGGGGCTGCAGCAGGACGTGTGCGAGTCGCCGCCGCCGCCGCCGCCGCCGCTGCCGCCGCTACCGCCCCCGGCGCGGCCCCCCTCGCCGCGGCCGCCGCCGCCCAGCCCGCAGCCTCCGGACCCCCCCGGCGGCCGCCCGCCCTCGCCCAGCCCGCCCGCCGCAGCCGGCCTCAAGGGCCCGCCGCCGCCGCCGCCCAAGCCGCCCACCCCGCCGTGGCCGCCGCTGGGGCTGGTGGTGGAGAGAAGCCCGCCGCCTCCCCGGGACACGCCCGTACCCAGCCCGGGGGGAGACAGCCCGAGCCCAGACGTGTACAGCCCTAGCCCCGACAATTACTACTTGCCGCCGCCCCCCCCCGACGACCCGGACGCGCCGCCCAGGCCACCGTCGCCGCCGTCGCCGCCCAAACGGCCGCCCCCGCCACGCAAGCCTCCCCGTCCACCGCTGGGTGGCTTGGCCGCCAGGCCGCCGCCGCCGAAGGGCGGCCCGGGGCCTGGTCCTGGCGGCCCCAGCCCTTCGCCTGGCGGCGGCAGCAGCCCCAGACCCTCGCCTGGCGGCGGCGGAGGCCCAAGCCCTTCGCCTGGCGGCGGCGGAGGCCCAAGCCCTTCGCCTGGCGGCTCCGGCGGCACCAGCCCTTCGCCTGGCGGCCCCGGCGGCCCCAGCCCTTCGCCTGGAGGCCTCGGAGGCCCCAGCCCTTCGCCTGGCGGCCCCGGCGGCCCCAGCCCTTCACCTGGAGGCCCCGGAGGCCCCAGCCCTTCGCCTGGAGGCCCCGGAGGCCCCAGCCCTTCGCCTGGAGGCCCCGGCAGCCCCAGCCCTTCGCCTGGAGGCCCCGGAGGCCCCAGCCCTTCGCCTGGAGGCCCCGGCGGCCCCAGCCCATCACCAAGCGGCGGCGGCAATGGCCCTGGGGGCCCCAGCCCTTCGCCTGGCGGCGGAGGCGGCAATGGCAGCCCCAGCCCCTCGCCAGGAGGCGGCGGCAACGGCCCCGGCGGCCCCAGCCCTTCACCTGGCGGCGGCGGCGGCAACGGCCCGAGCTCTCCCAGCCCCTCCCCAGGCCCCGTGCCGACCCCGGGCGGCGGCGGCAGCGGCAGCCCAGCCCCCACGCCCGGCGGCAGCGGCCCCTCAGGCCCCTCGGGGCCTTCTGGTTCTCCGGGAGCCCCTGGGGCGGATGGCCAGCCGGGCTCCCCAGGCTCAACCATTTACGTGCCGGTGCCGGTGCCGTCTGGCGGCGGCAGCGGCGGCGGCGGCGGCGGGCCCATCTATGTGCCCGTCCCCAGCGGCGGAGGAGGAGGCGGCGGGCCCGTGTACGTGCCGGTACCGGTTCCTGTGGCGGGAGGCGGCGGAGCCCCTACTCCCATCTATGTGCCCACGCCCGTGGACGGAGGCGGCGACAGCGGCGGCGGCGGCGACACCAGCGGAGGTGAGGCGCGGCGCCGCCTGCTCGCCGCCGGAGCGCTTCACGCACGACTGCCTGCCCTGCCGGCGTCCTGCCGCTGCCAACTGCGCGCGTGGAGGATCCCTGGCTGGGTCTGCTTGAGCCGAACGTGTGCTGACGGGTGCTGCTGCTTGCTGCTGGCGCAGGCGGCGACAGTCCTGGGCTGAGCCCCGGCGCCAGCCCCAGCCCTGGGGCCAGCCCCAGCCCCGGGGAGCCCTCCAGCCCCGCCTTTGTGCCTGTAACACCCAACTCAGTGGCCAGCCCCGACCCCGGGCTGAACCCTGAAGCCCCGGACGGCGGCGGCGGCGGCGAGGTGTGGGTCCCGCAGGGGCCCGGCCTGCCGCCGGTGCTGGCGCCCGTGCTGGCGCCAGCCGACATGGCCCCCGGGGCTGCCCCCATCATCGGCGGCGACCCCGCTGCCGGCCCAGGCTTGATAGGCGAGGCGCCGGCGCTGGCGCCGGCGCCCGTGTCGGAGCCCGCCCCCTCGCTGCCCGTGCCCCTCCCCGCGCCTGCCTCGCCCTTCCCGACCATTGGCCCCGCGCCAGCCACCCCGGAGGCGATGTGTGGGGAGACGGGGGCGGTGCTGCTGTGCAACAGCACCTTCTTCTCGCTGCCCATGTGAGTGGCCCGTATGCCTGCTCGAGGCGTCTGGCCAGCCCATTGGCCGGCCAGCCCTGCTGCCAGCGCCTGCCGGGGCCAGGTTTATTGCCAGCGCCGCGGCACAGCCGCTGCTGCCCATTCGCTCTGCCTCACAGCGCGCACGCCGCCGCCGCCGCTGCTCGCCCTCCCCCTTGCCTTCCCGCCCTCGCAGGGTCCAGTACAGGGATCGCTGGCACCTGGTCTCCTTCCCCTGGCAACCCGAGCAGGCGGCCACCGCCGCCAATACCTTCTGCCGCTACCACGGCTACCGGGCCGCCGCCACCACCCGCCCCTTCACCCTGCCCACCTCGCTCATGCAGCAGGTGGGGCGGCTGGCTGGCTGGCTGGCTGGGTGGAGGTCTTGCTGGCTCTTGCTGGCTCCGGTGCCGCAGCAGCTGCGCTGCGTGCCCCGCTCAGCCCTCGCCCTTCCCTGCACGCCAGCCCGCCCTGCCTTCCTGCCACTTTGCTTCCTTCCCCTGCCTCTGCAACGAATCTACAAAGTTAATCATTTTTTGTTGCTGTATTTCCTACCTCGCAGGCGGACGCGTTTGTGGTGTACGACTCGCTAGTGCCGGCGGAGGACGTGGACAGCCCTCGCGTGTGCACCGGCATGGCCTGCACCGCGTTTGCGGTGATAGAGTGCGTGCCGTACGGCGGCTCCCCCTGCCAGCCCGACGCCGCACAGAACATCGGCACGCGCAACACGGGTGGGTGTGGGTGTGGGAGTGGACGGGTGTGGGCGGGTGGCAGGAGCTGAGGTGGTGCGTACTGTGTCTGATGTGTGGGAGTGGGCGTGGGCGTGGCGGCGAGAATACTGCACTGCACCCGCCTACGGCCCCGCTTGCCTGCGGCCCGCCCCTGCCTCGAGGACCCCTCTCAAACCCGCCGCCCCCGCCCGGCGCAGGCGTGGGCAACGTGGGGCACAACAACGAGGGCTCCCACAACCTGGGCTCCAACAACGTCGGCTCCCGCAACATTGGCGACTTCAACCTGTGCACCCTGTGCCTGGGCCACCGCCTGACAGGGTTTGGGCTGGCGGGGCCGCCCGCCCTGCTGGCGGACGAGGACTCGCACGTGGCGCCCGCCAGCGCGGGCATGGGCCCGGCCGGCAGCACGGGCATCGGCACGGGCAGCACGTTTGGCTCGAGCTCGGGCGTGGGGCCGGGAGGGGTGGTGCTGCACGGCGGCGGCGGCGGCGGCAGCGGAGGAGCGGCAGGAGGGGGAGCGGAGGAGCCGACAAAGGAGGAGTTGTGACGTGCCCAGTCCCCCCTGCCTTGCTTCCTTGACCTTTTTTTGCTGCCCCCTTTACCCTGTGTTCGCGATTTGCAAACGCATCTGCTCCCAATTCCTCGCCGTATTCATTTCTTCACATTCACCCATTTTTTGCAGCCCCCTCATATTTTTTCGTGTCCTCCGAACTGATGTATGTACATGTCCTGCAGCGTTTTAAGCATGTATCCCTCCACTAGAGGCAGACATTGGCAGGCAATCGACATTGCAGTCGGCATGGAATGTTAAACAGGGTGTGGCAGCGCAAGCTGAGAGGCCCGCCATCCCTGCTGGCCTGGATGGGAGACAGGTCTCCTCCCATCACCTGGCGCAGCCTGGCAGCTGCCGGCCGCTAGCTGGCACCAGCTGGGCCTCGCACCCTCAGCCCGAGGCGCCCAGCCCCAGCAGCAGCAGCAGCTCTTCCACCTCCCCCTCCTCAGCCGGCGGCCTGTCCATCTGTGGCGGCAGCCAGCTCACTTCCGCCTCCACCTCGGCGCAGCTGCCGGGCATGCCAGCAGCCAGGCTCCAGTCAGGGGCAGCAGCAGACGTGGGCAGGCCGTCATGCGCCTGACAGCCAGCGGTGCCGACATCCCCACTGGCAGCCGTGTGCTGCTGTGTGCCGTCAGGCTCCCACCCGCCTGCAGCTTGGCCAGCCTGCTCCTTAGGCGTGCCCACGCTGGTGGCGGCTGGGATGGTGGCTGCGGCAGGTGCCAAGCCCTCCAGCAGCAGAGCGGCGGCGACCTGAGCGGCGCCGTGCGCAGCAGCTGCAGCTGCCGCAGCCTGGGTCTCATCAAAGCCCATGCTAACCAGCAGGGCGGTGCAGAGCCTGAGCTTGTGCCTGCAGAGGGCACGGCTGGCAGCGCGCCATCAGCAGAGGGATGGAGTGGAGTGGCGGCAGGGTGGCAGCAGCAGGAGGATGCGGCTGGGAAGGCATTCTTTCCATAAGAGACGAGCGGTTCCACAGTGGCCCTGCAGGAAGGCAGGCTGGCCACGGCTCTTCCCCTGGCAGCCACACCCCTCAATGCCACCACCTTACCCCTCTGCCAGGTCCGGAGCGCCGCCGGGAAGCACCAGTGCCGCCTCCAGGCTGGGCAGGCCCTCCGTCGCCCTCGCCGCCTGCCTCTCCCGCTCCTGCTCCCGCTCCCGCTGGCGCTTCAGCTGCGCCGCCCGCTCCCGCTGGGCCTCTCGCTCCTGCTGGGCCCTGAGCTCCGCCTCACGCGCCTCCCTCTCCTGCAGCTCCTGCTCCTGGGCAAAGGTGGAGTCTGAGGGTGTGGGGTCCAGGAGGGGGAAAGGATTTGTGCTGGCAGGCTTGGCTGGGCTGGCGGTGCCGGTGCTGGGCTGCCTGGCGGCGACGGCAGGCTTGGCTGGCGGCGCCTGCTGCTGCTGGCGGGGCGCCGGTGGGGGTGGCACCCCTGCCGGCCTCCTGGCAGCTGGCAGCGCAAGAGGCAAGGGTGTGGGTGCCCGCTTGGACGCGGCAACGGCTGGTGGCGATGTTGACGGTTTCTGCTTAGCTGCCGGTTTCTGCTTAGCTGGCACCGGCGTAGCCTGCTGGGTGCGGGGCTGCCTCGGGGCAGGCGTCTGTGGCGGGGGAGTCAGCTTCCTGACTGGCTTCACCACCTCTGCCGATTCCATGACGCCGTCTGCATGCGGCGATGGCAGCAGGCGCGTGGCAAGCGATGCAGCGCAGCGGTCAGGCGCGGTCAGGGAACAGCGAGGGAAGGGGGCAGCACGGGGCAGGGCAGGGATGAGCCTGGCTGGCCGCCTAGAGGTGAGCTCACCCTTGCAAGAAGGACACGCCTGCTGCAGCTTCTGCGCGCGGCCGTTGTGCGCCATCATCTGCTGAGGCCTCGACTTAATCTTGGACTGTGCTTGGGGGGCAGGGAGCAGGCACAGCGGTCATGCAAGGGCAGGCAGGCGGCAGTAAAGGGAAAGTCCGGCTGCCGGAGCCTGACACACAGCGGCCGCTGCCCGTGGCGCTTTCGGCACGCCGTGCAGAGCCAGCGGTACGCCCTGCGGCGGTGCACCCACCAGCACGGCGGTCCACGCCTTGTGGCTAAAGCCCCCGGCTTTGAACTCTCGGCGCATGCTGCACTCCAGGTGCTGCAGTCAGGGAGGCGGCGGCCAGTTGAGAGGGAGGGTGCGAGGGCCGCCGCCAATGCTGCCGCCGACTGGCGGCAAGAGCAGGCCGCCAAGCACAGCACCCAGGCGTACACCTCTATGACGCAGGTCGTGTGGAAGGGGAGGTCCTTGCACTTGGAGCAGCGGCCTGCAGGCAGGGAGACAGGGAGTGCAAGCATGGGGCTGGCAGAGAGGAGCAGAGCGGCGCCCGGCGGCCGCGAGCAGCGGCGGCAGATTGGCGGTGCAAGCTGGCTTTTGCAACCCAGCCTGCTCGTGCCGCTCCCGTTGCCAGCACCCACCTGTAATGTATTCCTCCTCCTCCAGCGTCACGAAATGAGCGCAGATCCCGCACTCTGTTCGCTGAGGCTTGGGTGCCCCGCCCCGGGGCGAACTCGGGTCCTGAGCGATGTCTGGGGTGCTGGGGGTTCGCTTGACGCGGCCCATGGCTGGTGGCGCAGGCCCCAGCAAAAACGAGGCAACCTAGCAGCGCAGTGCGTGTGCTCAGCGGGCGCTAGCTGGCCTTCCAAGACTGAGAGAGCAAATGAAAGACTGATTCCGCTGCGAGGGACGCGATCGGGCACCACCCACCAGCCCAACAGGCTCAGCGTGCCGCCGCCGCCACCGCATCGGCGTGGTGGGGCTTACTTCTCGTGAGAGCTATTTACACTGTAGACAGATCGCAGCGTGTGATCTCGTAAAAAGATAGAGACAAAGAGAGTGAAAAAGAGAGACCATTCGGTTAAAGTGATGCTGCGCATTCCCAGCATGCGATCAGTCACCCCGCCGATCACCACATCAGGCCACCCCCAAACGAACGCTGAACGCGGTGTTGGCTGTCGTATTGGTCAGGAGTTCAAAAGAGGTCATATGCAATCCGCAGCTCGTTGGCTACTTTCAAGTGCTGGAGCAGCTGACTTGCCTCGAGCCAGCACCCAGCACCCTGGCAGGCAGACCAGTCGCCGCTGCCGTGCCATTCGCCCTGCCACTAATTTGGCGAGACGCCATCCGCACTGCATGCCGGCATGAGCCTGCCCCCCTCCCAGCTGCCGCAGCCTAGTAGTAGGTGCCGCGGATGGGCTGCTTGCGGTCCTGAACCATCTTGATGCCTGCAGAGGGCGAGCAAGTGGCGGGGAGACACCCCTAGCGGCAGGGACCGATCAGCGCTCTGCTCGGCGCGCGAAGCAACGGCCTGACAAGCTTGCACAGCGCTCCGAGCACAGCACCAGGGAGCCATGCAGCGCAGCGCAGCAGGTGCAGCTGGCTGCCACGCCCAGCAGACAGACGATGCCACGCAACACACAAGAGCACGTCAGGAGAGACGCCCACCCTGCGCAATCTGCTTGAGGTCTGGGCGGGCGAAGGAGGCATTGCTGTAGGACAGCACGTGCAGCAGGCCCGCGGGGTTGACCAGGAACAGGGCCGGCTCTGCGAGGTGGGGGCAGGGTGTGCATATGTGTGCTGCGGCGGCGGTGGTGGTGGGTTGCGGGTGGCAGCGCTGGCATGGGGTATGTGGAGGGGAGGCCCCCAGGCAAGGTGCCAGTTCTCAGCTGCGAGGGACAGCAACTGCGCATTAGAACACGCTGTCCTTCCTGCTCCTGAGCCAGGCACTCCCTGCGCCTCTCATCCCCGGCCGCCCCCGGCAGGTTGTGCCGAGGCCGGCGGTGACGCTAGCACATGCCTGAGAAGAGGGTGATGCTTTCCTCGGGGCCCAGCGGGCGCGACACGTACAGGCCCCAGCGCCGCATCTGCTCCTCGTTCAGGCCATACGCCACCTGCAAGGGTGCGGGAGGGTGGGCGCGGTGGCAGCCACACCCAGTCTGGAAGTGTATGTGCGCCTGGCCTTCTCGCCGCCTGCCCAGCTGTTCCAACCGCGCGATGGGGCGGGGGTGTAGGTGCAGGGGCAGGTGCAGGCGCAGGGCATGCACTGGGTGCCTCGGATCCGGCCTCGCCTTGAAACCGATGCGCCCTGCCCGCGTGTCGGGGCTCACCGCCAGCACGGCGCCGCGCAGGTCGTCCACCTGTCACAGCGTGCGCAGCGGGGGCATGCAGGCACGGACAGAGTATGAATAGGGGAATAGCAGAGCAAACATGAGTCGGAGGGATGAGAGAGGGCAGGGAGCAGTGTGCCCTGTTGCGGCAGGCAGCGACCGGGAGGCTGACGCTGCGGCCTCCCGGCGCTGCTCAGCAGGGTGCCTGGGGCAGCCCCTGGCATGCGGGCCTGAGCGGCATCCGTGGGGGCCTGGCATGCGCAGTTGCTTGCATGGGAGAACAGGGCAGGTGTGGCCGGTGCCGGAGGCGGGAGACGCAGGTCCCCGCCCCCAATGCATCAGACCACACCTCCACATCGTTCCCATGCCAGCAGACACGCACACCAGGCCCCTGGGATGCTGAGCCTGGCGGGACAGGCCCGCATGCTGGCGCCCACACCCGGCAGCAGGCCCAGCAGCGCGCCTCACAAAGGAGCAGGCCTTGCCGCGGCTGTCGGCAGACACCGCCACCACGTCGCAGCTCTGCTCCTCAAACTCGGGCATCAGGTGCTGCGGGGCGGGGCAGAGGTGGTACAGGAGCAGGTAATCGAAAGCGGGGTCACAGCAGACAAGGATGATGTGGCGGGGAGCATGCCATCAGGCACAGCGTGCGGTTGAGAGGGCGTCAGGCGGGGTGTGCTCCTGCTGCTGCAGGCCTCTCCACACAGACCTGGCCTGGGCCTCGCAATTGCAGGCCCCACCCCCCCACCCTCCCCACCTGCAGGGCCGCCAGGTAGGTGACGCACACCGGGTCGTGCTTGCCTCGGTACACCACCACCAGCTGCCAGCGCCCCGTGGGCGCCCCGATCTCCACGCGCCCGCCCTGCGGCACAGACCCGGGGGTTTGCATGGCGGCCGGCATCAAGGTGCGAGGAGGGCAAGCTGGAGAGAGTGGGGAGATCAGCAGGGAGAGGGAGGCGGCCGAGCATCGAGGTGGGCTGGCGGGCCGGTGCAGCGCCCGGCGTGCGGCGAGCGGCGGCGAGCGGCGGCGTGCCTGCCCTCCTCCCTCGGTCGCCTCCCTCCCCTGCCCCCTCCTCCCAGCTTCACCTCCGTGGTTGGCAGGGTGACGTGCGGCAGCGCGATGCCCGGCTTGAGCTTCGTGACGTCGGCCGCGGGTGCGGCCTTGGAGAACATGCCTAGGCAGCTCTGCATGATGGGAAGGGCCGGCGGCGGCGGCAGAGGGGAGAGAGGGGAGAGAGGAGCTGGCAGAGGGCGGACTAGGTTGCTGCGTGTGTTTGTCTGCTGCCAACCAGTGCTGCCAAACGAGGGAACAGAGCACTTCCTGTGGGGGAGCAGGCGCTGAGAGACGGCCTGGTGGAGGCTGCACAGTGCGCTGAGCTTAAAGGGCAGCTACCATGCGGGTCCCGCCCTGACCGCACGCATCCCTCCCTGCCCGCCGCTCATCCCACCCATTCACAAACTTTATGTTACAACCGCAGTCACAACCGCAGGCGAAACAATACAATACTGCCGCAGCGGCAGGCAGGCCTCAAGCATCCTGCATCGCCACATCCCCCGCCGCCGCCGCCGCCGCTTGCTCCACCGCCTCGCCGCCGTTGGCAGCCGCCGCCGCCGGCCCATCCGCGGGCGTGATGGCATACTGCTGCTGCACCGCCTGTGCCGTCGCCAGCAGCTTGCCCACCTCCCCCTCCAGCCCGGCCACTGTGCCAGGTGGGAGCCAGGGAGCCAGCACAGGCCAGAGTGAGAGAAGCGTGGCGGGGAGCAGGGCGTGCCCAGGCAGCCGCTGCACCCGACACCGAAGCCAGCCAGCAGCAAGGCTCAGCCAGCAGCAAGGCTCGTCCTGGGCAGGCGACAGGGTGGCGCTCACCCGTGCTGCGCTTCTGCGCCACGTCTGCCGCCAGGGCGTCCCGCTGCGCCTTGATCCCTTCCAGCTTCTTCAGAAACTGCCGCCTGCGACGAGGCCGCCAGGGTGCACGAGGCAGTGGCAGCGGTCGGGCAAGGCCAGCAGCAGGCAGGGTGTGTGGCGCTCAAACGACGGCGGCATGCATGGGCCGGCTCATCCCAGGCTGGGCTGCCCGCCCGCCCTCTCCACTGCTGAGCAGCACCGTTGTTGTTCTGCTGGCTGCTGGGCAGGCGCTCCAAGCGCACCTGTAGGACACTTCGTGGGCCAACCGGTTGAGCATGAGCTTGTGCGGGTCCTCCTCTGCCGCCAGCTCGCCGCACAGCGCCGCAAACTCCTCCAGCGGCACCAGCGCAATCTGCGACGGCAGAGCAGGCGGGGAGCGCGAGCAGGGAGCGAGGCGGGTGGTGGGCGGCACAGCGCGGCTGGTGAGGCGGCAGCCGAGCCGCCAGCGATGCGGGATGGTGCTCAGCGCTTGGTGGCGAGCTGGTGATGCCCAGGCATGCTCCCTGGGAGCGGCAGCTGATACAGCCACAAGCCGCCGTCGCCCACCTGCTCGTCGCTGTATGCCGACCGCCACCCGCGGCAGCTGCCAATCTCCTTCTCGTAGTGCTGCCGCTCGTAGAGCAGGTTCTGCAGCTGCAGGCTGCTATCATCGAGCTGGCTCTTGGCCTCGCTGGCCGCCTCCCGAAGCGCATCCGTGTTTTCGCACAGCCGGCGGTGCGCCGCCTTCAGCTCCAGCAGCTTGCACGCCCCGGAGCTGAACACCTGCTGCGGGTCGTCGGGCAGGGCCTCATCACGCCGAGCCCGCACAAGGGCGTCGAAAAACTCGCCCACGGCCAGCGGGGCCTCCGACTCGATTGCAACCTCCATCGTGGCAGTGCGATCCGAGTCCTGCCGCGCCGGTTGGGGGCTCTTGGGCAAGTTGATGTACAGTCGTGGCGGTACGGCTTGAGAATTCCTTCCCAAACGGCTGGAACGCATCGCAGCAATGCTGAGCAACATTGGCAGGCTCTATTGATCACGCCAGCCTTCCTCGGTGCTGCTTCACCTCCACTTCATTTTGACTTCGCCCCGTTACCGGCTGTTTTAGGTGCCAGAAAGGTAAGCAGGGCGTACGTGAATTGGACCCAGCAGCAGCAGCCGGCCGCCCACACCCTTCCGCTGCCGCCACTCCCGCCATCACTTGGGCGCCGCTCTGCTACAGCCCGTTCCCCATGACCTCCAAAGTCGTGAGTGTGGAGGACTGCGGCCCCGAGGGCTTCCGGTGGATCACCCTGAAGCGCATCACGGTCCGGCTGCAGCCACGCTGGCGCCCTGCCTGCCCGCCTGCTCGCCGTGCCGGCTCCCGCTAAGGCTGCTCGGTGTGGGCTTGCCAACTGTTTGTTGGCAGCAACAGCAAAACGCTGCTCAGCGGGGCAAGCATGCGCTCGCCCCTAGCGCCGCGTGTGCCTGCCTGCCTCCCTCCCCGACCGCAGTGGGAGGACCCGTCTGGCCGCCAGCGCCTGTGGGAGTCGGCTGAGCGCACCACTCGGCGCGGGGATACTGACGGCGTGGCGATTGTGGCAAAGGCAAGTGAGCAATGGAGCTCGGCTTGCGCAGCAGGCAGGGAGCTGCGCCTGCCCTCACGGACGCAGCTGAGCAGCACACGCCTCCATCCTTCATCATGCGCCTGACCACAGCGCCGCCCCGCGCTTCCTACCCCTCCCCGAGCAGATTCTGCGCAAAGGGCAGCCGCCGCTGCTGCCGGTGCTGAAGCAGTACCGGCCGCCCGTGGCCAACTATTGCCTGGAGCTGCCCGCGGGGCTGGTGGATGGTGGGGAGAGTGCGGGGCAGGCGGCGGTGCGGGAGCTGCTGGAGGAGACAGGTGGGTGGGGTGGGGTGGGGTGAGCCATGGTGCCAGCCTGGAGTGGGTTGCACTGCTGCCTGAGGCACAAGTGGAACGAGGGAAGGAAGGAAGCCGCCCGGGTGTGCAGACGATGCATGCTTGCGCTGAAGCCTTGCCCGCCCCTGCACCCCTCCCAACCTGGCCCCGCCGCAGGCTACCGGGGGCAGGTGGTGCAGGAGACGCCCATCTGTGTGAGCGACCCGGGGATGAGCAACGCCAACATGCGCTACGTGACGCTCGAGGTGCTGGCAGGGCGGGAGGAGCAGAGGGGCTGTGGGTTGGGGAGGGCGCCGGGCCGTCACAGTCTCGAGGCTGGGCATGCTGGCAGCGGTGGGTGAGCTCAGCGCATAGAATTGCTGCCAGACCCCTTTGCTGCGGCGCGCAGGTGGATGGTGACGCACCCGAGAACCAGAATGTGGTGCAGCAGCTGGAGGTGGGTAGCGCGTGTGGCTGGAGGCGGCAGTGTTGGGACGCCATAGTGTGGGTGTTGAGGTTGTGAGCGACTGGTGGGGGTGTGGGGCAGCCCGCCGGGGGCGTGGCCCGCTGCTTGGGCTGCGCCGTGGCTGTCGCTGCTACCTGAAGGAAAGGAAGAAAGCAAGTGAGGAGGAAAGCATGTGTTGCCTGCCGCAGGATGGCGAGTTCATCCAGGTGGAGCTGGTGCCCTGGGGCAGCCTGATGCAGCACCTGCTGGTGAGCACGCCCGCCTGCCCTCCAGCCTGCACGAATGCATGCATGGTTGCACGCCCGCCCGCCTAGACGCCTGCGCGCCCTTTCCTGGCGAGCGTGTGCCAGCTGGCCTGCGTGCCTGCGCAGCCCCGACACACTGCCCTGAGAGTGGTACCGCACAGCGTGCCCCGCCGACTTGGATTGCATCACTGTTCCCCGGCATCGCCGCAGGCGGAGATGGCTGCCACGGGGTGCGAGGTGGATGCCCGCCTGCTCTCGTATGCCTTTGGGCTGGAGCATGCGAAGGAGGCCCTGGCAGCAGGCGGCGCAGCAGCGGCAGCAGCAGCGGCAGTGCCGGCAGTGCCAGCAGCGGCAGCGGCAGCGGCAGCGGGAGCGGGAGCAGGCGCAGGCCCGCAGCCAGCGCAGCGGCCACGCAGCTCGGATGGGCTGGAGAGCGGCGCCAGCTGGGCGCCGCTGCCTTTTGGGTCCCCCATCCTCTCGCCGCAGGCCAGCATCATGCACCCGCCAGCGGTGTCGCTCGGGAGCCAGGGCCCAGCAGGCACGCAGCCAGCGGGCCGCCGCGGCCCTGCCTCGCTCGCGGGCGGCTGGCCGCTGTTTGTAGGGGGCGTGGCGGCGGGCGCGGCGGGCTGCTTGCTGCTGCGCGCGGCAGGTCGGTGATGGCTTTTGGGGTCGGTTGCTTTCCTGGCTTGTGCTTTATCCCTGCTGCTTTGTAAGCAGCGTCAATCGGCAGCAGGTGTGGAGGAGGCGGGCACCCGTGGGCGGCAGGGCGGCGGCGATGGGGACGGCAGCGCTTGCCTGCAGGAGTGGTGCTTGCATCATTCCTTGCCTCTTTGACCTGGCAACGCTGAAGTGCGACACGTACTGCCTGTACGGCATGAGGAGGTGTCAGCCCGTCCAAGAGTGCCACTCAAATTCTGTTGAACTTGCTCGTGGCATTATCATTGATCCAAAGAGTAGCTGCCCGAGCTGAGGAAGGAACAGAGGCTGCTCTCTGCCTCGAGCAGCGCTGGACGTCGACGGAGCGTGCCAGACGTGCGCGGCCCAGAGCGCAGCCCTGCTGAGCAGCACCAGCAGAGCAGGCGTGCCCTGAGGGCAGCACCCCGTGCCTGCCTGCCTCCCTGCTGCCCGCCGCTTCCTGGCGGCACCTCCCTGAGTCACGGCAGCTGCCCACTCCCACCTCTCCCTGCCCCTGCCTCCAGGCCTAGCCCTCCCAAGCACACGATGCTGGACAGCTCGACGCAGCGCCCCGGAGGCGGCGGCGGCGGCGGCGGCGGTGGCGGCAGCCCGCGCCGCCACCCGCTGCGCAGCCCGCTGGCCATCTGCGTGCAGGGCGCGCTGCTGTGCGCGCTGGCGCTGGGCCTGGCCAAGCTGGGCACCGCGCGCCTGGGCCATCGACGCCGCCCGCTTCGACGTGCCCGCCCTGGTGTACCCCTGGCGCCGCCAGCTGTCCATGCTGCTGGCCATGGGAGCACTGGAGCAGGGCGTGCCCGGCGACTTTGTTGAGACGGGGACGTACAAGGTGCGGCAGCGCTGGGACAGCAACCAGGCGCCGGGACAGCAACCGCCGCGGGCTGCTGCCGCGGGCTGCCGCCGCTGGGGCGCTGGGTGTGCTGCCGGGGTAGCTGGGGCGGGGTGGAGGAGCGCCGCACCTGCCTTGATGTGTTGGCGAGGAGCGCCGAGCTGCAGCTGCCCCGCATTGTGGTTGGCAGGGAGCGCCCGGCCGGCTCCCAGCGCCGCATGCGCGCGCGTGCCGTGCAGGGTGGCATGGCGGTACTGCTGCTCAAGGCGCTGAGCGACCACGACCCGCGCGCCGCCCGCAAGCTGTGGGCCGCCGACTCCTTCGAGGGCCTGCCGGAGATGGTGGAGCAGGACGAGGGGCACGGCGGCAAGGGCTGGATGGCGGCGTCCCGCGCCCAGTTCGACGACACCGTCGCCAACTTCACCGCCCCGCTGGGCCTCACCCGCCTGCCCGACCGCCTGCGCGTGCTGGAGGGGTGGTTCAACGAGACCCTGCCCGCCGCCCCCATCGACGCCATCTCCTTTTTGCGGCTGGACGGAGACGTGTACACCAGCACGCGCGACGCGCTGCAGGCGCTATACGACCGCGTGTCGCCGGGGGGCCTGGTCTACCTGGACGACTACGGCTCGTTCGAGGGCTGCGCGGCGGCGGTGGACGAGTTCCGCGCCGCGCGCGCCGTGCCCTGCCCGCTGCTGCGCGCCGCGGTGCCCGAGCAGGGGCTGGAGGAGGCGGGGGACAAGGCTACCTGGGAGGCGGCCTGGTGGGTCAAGCCCACCTGCTGATTGGTTGGCGCGCGCAGCCAGGCAGCCAGCTGCGGCGGTGTGTTGCGTTGCGTATGTTTTTCGTGTTTCCGTTTGCTGTGCTCTGCCGGCGGCAGCAGGTGTGAGCTTAAGTGGCCATGAATGGCATGAGAATCTGAGTGGAAGCACAACAGAAACTCCCGGGCTGCAAGCAGAGATTCAGGCTGCAGGCTGCCTGTCCGCCATCACCCCCCTCCGCCTTCATCCTGCCGCAGCCGCTGCAGCACCTCTGCCGCAGTGGGGCGGGCCCCCGGGTCGTGTGACAGGCAGGCTTCTATCAGCGCCAGCACGCCCTGCACATGCCAGGGCGGGCAAGGAAGCAGCCGAGTGGGAAAGCGAGGGAGCCGCGGGGTGGGAAAGGGAGCCATGCGTAGTATCCGACCACTGGTACAGCAGCAGCAGCAGGCCACCCCCACCTGCGGGCACTCTTCGGGCGCGTGTGGCAGGCGCCAGGCGCGGCGCCGGTGCACCGCCTGCCGCGTGGTCAGCTCAACCAGCAGCACTCCATAGCTGTACATGTCGGCGGCAGAGGTGCACGGCTGGCCCAGCATCTGCTCTGGAGCTGCAGAATGGCACCACGACAGACGGGTGTAGCGTGAAGCGCCGGCCACTTGCTGGGGTGTTGGCTGGAAAGCAGCAAGCACGGCAGGTAGACCCCACAGCAAGCAGGTTGCCAGCCAGACGCCTGCCCCGCACCTGCGTGGGTGAGGCAGAAGCCGCGGGCGCCGCCTCCGGGCGCGGCGCTGGCCACCGAGAAGGCGAGCCCCAGGTCTCCCAGGTGGCCCCGCAGGCCGCCATCCAGCAGCACGTTGCTGGGGGGAAGGCAAGGGGCGACAGGGGCATGGTCGGGAGAGGACGGGGAAAAGGGAGGGCAAATGAAATGCACAGGAGCAACCCCAAGCAGCATGCTCAGCAGCTGTTCCCACCCGCTGCTTAGGTCGCCGTGCATGATGCCCAGCTGGCGGTGCAGGTGGTCCAGCGCCTGCGCCACGTCAGCAGCCACCTGGCACCCGCTGCGGAAGCAGGGGGGGCATGGAGAACACCAGGGCAGGTTAGCTTTGCCGGCTCTCTGTGCGACTCTGCTGCCGCAACACGGGCCGCAGCACAAGCAGCGCACCCCTGTGCCCAGCGCAGGCGCTCCCGCCTGCCCTCGTCCTGCAGGGCGGCCCGCAGGCTGCCGCCCTCCATCAGCCGCATGGCCAGCATCAGCAGGCAGCCCTGCAGGCACAAAGGGCAGCAGGGTCAGGGAGGTCGCCTGTGTGTGGAGCAACCTAGGGCTGACGTTACTGCTGACCACCCAACCATCCTGCTGTTCCGACACCAGCCGCTGCTAAAAAAACAGCCCCCATGCACCTTGAGGGCCACGCCGTACAGCGGCACGATGCGCTCGTGTGCGCAGCGCCGCAGCAGGGCCGCCTCCCGCCACATCGCCGCGGAGGCTGCCCCCGGCGCCAGCTCAAACACCTGCGGCGGAGAGGGATGGGATGTGGAGGGGCTGGCCACGCGGCAGCTGCTCCGTCCAGCGCACACACCTGTCCAGCACTGAGCACAAACGGCATGGCCACACAGCTCAGCGCCTAGTGCCGGTCAGCGCATGCCCTGCCTCCCACCTTGACAGCCACCTCCACCCCCTGCAGGCGTGCCATGTACACGACCCCAAAGCCGCCCTGCCCCAGCTCCACCGGCCGCCCCGCGTCGTCCTGTGCCAGCTGCACACGGGGAGGGGAGCAGGCACCCGGGGAGGGGAGGGTGGGATGGTGCGCGGGAGTACATACATGTGTTCTCTCCACCTTTCTGTTGTCTGGCCGCAGCACGCCCCCAGCCACCTCCTCCGCTGCCACCTACCTCCAATGCTCCTGGCTTCAGCTGCAGGGAGACCGTGCTCAGGCCCCACTGCCGGCTGCGGTTGGCATCGCCGCCGCCGGCACGCCCAGCCGGCGGCGGCCCCTGCGCTTCTGCTGCCAGCGGGCTGCCCTGCCCGCTCCCTTCCAACGGCGCCAGCTGGTGCGCCAGCGCAGCAGGCAGCCCGGCTATGGGCAGCACCTCGATGCTGCCTCCTATCTCTGCGCTGACCAGCGCAGCCAGCCGCGCCCGCCTGGTGAGCGCAGCCCTGTCGCCAGCCGAGCCATCCACCTGCCGGTCCGGCTGCTGCTCCCTGCCCGCCTGCAGCAGCATTTCGCAGTCGGGGCCCTGCTGAGAGTGCAGGCGCCGCCGCCTGCACCGCCACAGCACCCTGCCCGCCGCGCCCGCCGCCGCCGCCGCCGCGAGCGGCGCCAGCGCCGCCAGGCTCATGCCCGGCGCCGCGGTGCTGGCGGCCGGCGCGTGGGTGCCGTTTGCGGCGAGACCCGATGCTCCCTGCGCCCCCTGGTCTGCTACGGGATACATGGCGCACGGCGGGATCTCGCTGTCTGCCTCCAGAACGGCGGTGCCAGTGCCCACCAAGAGCAGGCTGCCTGCCGGCGTGTCGCGGCACCACGTGTCCAGCTCTGCCGGCGTTGCGCTATCCAGCACACTGCACGCACAGCAGGGAGGAAAGCAGGGCCAAGCGCGCCGGTCAGAGGGAGGGAGGCGGCGCCGGGACTGGCGCCGCCGCCACGCAGCGGAGGCTGCAGCTGGACAGGCACGAGCCGCACCGCCCCCACCCCACACAGTAGCTCGCTTAGATCCTGCCGCCGTCCCCCCCCGCGCTGCACCTCCCTGCATCGCTCCAGCCACACACAAACACCTACTCCTCCGCCTCCCCAGCTTCCAGCCACCCGCCCCCACAGCCTCACAGTTCCGCCAGGTTTGGCCACGGCAGGCCGGCCGGCGGCGCGGCGGTCAGCCCCGGGTTGCCGTTGAGGTGCAGCCAGCGAAGGCAGCGCATGCCGCCACGCGCCAGCCAGGCTGGCGGGAAGGCGGGCCCGGTCAGCCGGCCGTTGTCGCGCAGGCTGAGCCCGGTGACCTGCACCGCGCGTGTGTGTGTGTGTAGGTGTGTGTGGGGTGTGTGTGGCTGTGTGTAGGCGTGCGGATGTATTCTGCACACGCATGCCCCAGGCTCTGGCTCCTTGGGCGCCTCCTGTCCTGCCAGGCGCTGCCCCCCAGGCACCTCCTGCCCTGCCGGGTGCAGCCAGCGCAGCGCCGCACCGCAGCCCACCCACCTCAGACTGAGCCCACTCGGGCGGCAGTGTGCCTGAGATGCGCGTGTTGCGCAGCTGCAGAGGAAGAAGGGAAAGAAGAAGAAGTATGACACACAAAACCATTTCGGGGGGCGATGCAGGGGCGAGTGGGGCAGGCAGGGACAGGCAGGGGCAGGCAGGGGCAGCGCAGCGAGTGAGAGGCTCGAGCGCCAGCTGGCGGGGCGTAGCGCCGCAGCCAGGCCAGGCCAGCAGCGCCCTGCCGGCCTCCACAGGCGGGCGGCGGTGGCCCGGCACGCACCGACAGCTGGCGCAGGCGCGGGTGGCGGCTGAAGATGGCGGCGGGCAGGGTGCCTGTCAGCGGCGAGTCTTGCAGCGTGCTGCAGGCGGGATCCAGGTGGCATGCACAGGTCGGCAGCTAGGCCAGCGCACAGGCAGAGCACAGCAGGACAGCGCAGCAGGCCGGCGCAGCAGGCCGGCGCAGCTGCAAGGCCGCACGCGCTACCACCGCGGGCGCACGCACAGCTCGGTGAGGGCCGGGAAGCGGGTGAGCGCCCAGGCGTCTGGCAGAGGGCCGGCCAGCGGCAGCCTCCACAGGGACAGGCGGGTCAGGAGCGGGAAGCCGGCCGCCCAGCTGGCTGGCAGCGCATAAGCGCGGGCCGGCCCCGCGGGCGGCGGCGGCGGGGCACGGCCGGCGCCGCGGGGCGCCGCCTCCCTGCCTGGCGCAGCCAGGAACGCGCTGGCCTGGCGCCGGATGGACAGCTGGCGCAGGGAGCGGAAGCCGGAGGCCCATTCCTGCGGCAGCGGCCCCCACACCTCCGCCACCAGGCTCAGGTTCTGCAGGGCAGGCAGCGTGCCGGGGCTGGCGCCCCAGCTGGGCGGCAGGCTGGCATGCAGCTTGGGCATCGCCAGGTCCAGGGCTTGCAGCAGCGGCAGGGCCCCGGGGCGGATGTCGGGCAGGCGGCCGTGGGACGTGGGCAGCGTCACAGACAGCCTGTGCAGCGGGGACGGGGACGGCGGCGGGGGCAAGCCAGGGAGGGGGTGGTGGGTAGGCGAGCGGGTGGCGAGCTGCTGTGCACATGCATGGGATCAGGCAAGCCTGGGTAGGGTCTGCACCAAACAGCGCCTAGCGGGGTGTGCTTGACCCGCCCGGCACGCTGCTCCCGCTCACCTCTTGAGGCGCGGGAAGGCGCCGGGGAGGCCCCAGGCAGCAGGGACGCCGCGCGGCAGCAGCGAGGGGGGCACCCCCACGAGCAGCTCCTCCAGCCACAGCAGGCGCGCCAGCTGCGGCAGCTCGGCGCGCGCCTCTGTCATGTTGCGGCTCCGCGGCGCCGCCACCGCCACCATCGTCACCCAGCTCTGGTCAGACGGGTCCCTGCCAGTCAGGGAGGAAAGCAGCATATGGCATTGGTTTCCCGACGCCATTCCGGTGTCAGCAAGCTGCAAGCGGATATACGCCAGCTGGCCGGCAGGCGTTTGCATGCACAGGCTGGGGAGCAGCGGCCGGCGGCCGCAGCGGACTGGCTGGTTGGCTGGCGGCCTGGCGCGCGGGCCGGCGCCGCTCACAGCCGCGTGACGCGCTGGTTGCTGTCGCACGCCACGTTGCGCCACTGGCAATGGTGGGTGGGGTCGGCCGGCTGCCAGCCGGGCCAGAGGGCCTTGGGGTTGCCGGCGTCGTGGAAAGCGCGGCGCAGCCGCGCCATGACCTCCTGCTCTGCACAGAGAGCGGCGCACCAGGGTCAGCTGGCGCGGTCGCCTGTCTGTGGGAGGGCTGATCTGGGGGCACGACGATGCGGCGGCGGCGTGCCGCATGCGGGTGCTGGTTCACATGCGCCGCCGCACCTGTTTGCACGTCGCTGCCAGGCAATACCGTCCAATCGGGCGCCTGGCCCGCCAGGGCCAGGCGCAGGGCCAGCAGGAGTGCCAGTGCTACGGCAACCAGTCCCATGTGGCGGCAGAGGCTCTCTTCACGGCTGAGTCGCAGCGGCGTGGGTGCTGGGGAGGTGGCGGCGGCGGGGCGGCGACATGGTGTTGCCGGGAGCCGCGCGGCGCTGTGGCCGCACTGACAGTGGGATTCGACGTTTCGTAGATGGAGGGAAGAGTGGCGCAGAGAGAGTTGCCGCTCAACGCGGGTGCCGCTTGAGGGCGACAGCCCACAGGCACGCTCACCCACGACCGGAAAGCAGGAGAGGATGCAGAAAGAAGACAGCAAAATGCGAAAGCGGCCACCGTACACAAGTGTCTCCTCGCCGCGTCGCGCATGGCACATGCTGCCTCTTAGTTGCAAGGAAATCCAAGGCCCACGCCGCTGCAGCACTCTGTGACATTGCAGTTTATAGCACTGCGGCCAGCAGGTCAGACGCACCAGTGGCCGCGAGCCACCCCTGCGGGCTTGCTGCCTGCCTCCTGCAGCGGATCTGAGACCCTCAATTCGGCCGGGAAGTAACAGGGCGGCGCACAGCAGGCCCAGGCAGCCATCGAGCACCCGTGCGGGCTGCCGCCACCGGTTGTAGCCCAGAGGCAGGCCCAATGGAGCAGCTGGCGAAGCTGCAGTACCTGTCGCTGGTCAGCAAGATCACCACAGGTGCGGGGAGGACGGCCGCCGTGTGCCGCCTGCCCATCACATGCCCCGCCGCTGCCCTGCCGCCCGCCCGCTGCCCCGCTTGCCGTCCAGCCCAGCACCCGCCTCCACCTGCTTTCTGCCGCCTGCAGAGCTCGAGAACCACTTGGGCATTGCGGACAAGACCCTGTCTGAGTTTATCGTCGAGCTGAGCAAGGGCAAGGCGAGCGTCAAGGAGTTCCGGCTTGCGCTGCGCGAGAATGGCGCCGACATGCCCGACTCGCTCGTTGAGACTCTGTGGGCCATCATCCAGCGCATGCTGCCCGGCGGCAAGCCCGGCGGCAAGCCCGGCGGCGGCGGGGCGGGGCCCTCGGGCCTGCAGCCGCGGCCGGATGCACCGTTTGCGGGCCTTGCGATGCCCGACACTCGGGACCGAGTGAAGCAGATGGAAGAAGAGATGCTGGCGGAGGCTCGGGCCAAGGCAGAGGCGGATACAGGGGCAGAGCGTCAGCGCAGCCACGAGCAGGCGTCGACGCGCAACGGGCGGGAGGCGGACGGCCGGGGCCGGGGGGGGCGGGAGGAGCGGAACCGCGATGGCCCGCGGTATCGCAGCAGGAGCCGCAGCCCCGGCGGCGGCGGCAGGCGCCGGCGCAGCCGCAGCAGGTCGAGGGAGCGGTATCGGCGACGCAGCCCCAGCCCGCGCGGCGGCGGCGGCCGCCGCGAGGAGCCGCTGCCGGATGAGCCTGAGATGTATGGCGTGTACCGGGTGCGTGCATGCGTGTAGCGCCACCTAACTCAGCGTCAGCTCTGCTGGCGCGCCGCCTGGTTTGGCAGCTTGATACTCAGTTCCAGCCAGCTAGCAGGCCGGCTCGCGTTGCTCCGATGGCAGGCTGCGGGAGCTGCTGCCAGCAGCCAGCCCTCCCACCCTGCCAGCCCCACCACCCAGCCGGCCACCCCTGGCCTGCCCTGACTGTGCGTTGGTGTCCCTGTTGCCGCAGGGCCGTGTGACGGGTGTCATGGACTTTGGCTGCTTTGTGGAGCTGCAAGGGTTCCGCACCAAGCAGGAGGGGCTGGTGCACCTGTCCAATATCTCCTCCACCAAGCGGGCAGGCAGCGCCAAGGACATGGTGGGCAAAGGTGCGCCCAGGGGCCTGCAGGACAGCCGGGGGTGGCGGCTGGGCTGGCTGGCTGGCTGACGGGTGGCTGGCTGGCGGGTGGCTGGTGGGCGCGGCGAGGTGGAGGGTGGGGGCGATGTGGATGGCGGCGTGGCGCAGCGCCCAGGCCGCTTGTCTGTGTGGGAGTTGCAGCACAGCGGCAGGCAGCTGACCGCAGCCAGGAAGCCTCGTCGCCAGGAGCATAGCTGCCGGCATCTTTTGGCCTTCGGCCGTGCTTGGTAGCGGCCCCGCCTCCATCCCCCCGTCCCGCTTCCCTGCCGCCCACGAGCCGCCGCCGTGCCGTGCCGCGCTTTCCACCCACCCGCAGGCGACCCCGTCTGGGTCAAGATTGTGTCCAAGACGGGCCAGCGGCTGGGGCTGGCGATGCGGGATGTGGATCAAGTCACAGGGGAGGACCTGCTGCCCATGCAGCGCGGCGCGGCCCCCACCGGCGCCTCCAACCCCGCGGGCCCGCTCAGCCTGGCCAACCAGACCGCGCTGCACGGGCTGTCGGGGATCAAGGTGTGTGTGGGGGGGGGGAGGGGTTGGTGCTCTGGGGCCAGGCGCTGCGGCAGGCGTGTGGCTGGGAGAGGCGTGAAGGCCGCCTGGCCCGAGTGGGGTGGCTCCTCGCCCCACGGCTGCCCTTTCCCGGCCTGTTTGTTTTCTCTCTACCTCCACGCCTTGCTGACCTACTACTGCCGCACCCTCCCCTTCTTTCTTCCACCTTCTTTCTTCGTAGGTCAAGGAGGATGAGGTGCTGGAGGGCAAGCCCAAGCGGCGCGGCAAGGTGATGAGCGACTACGAGAAGTGGGAGATCAAGCAGCTGATCAACTCGGGTGGGTGGTACTGCAGCGGTACAGAGATAGATTTCTGCAATACAGCATTGCACTGTCAGGACATTTCATTGGAGGAGGGGCAGCTGCTGCAGCTGGGGCAGGGGCACGTGGGCTGCAGGCAGGCGGGCACGAGGCAGGCTGGTGCTCAGCGCCCCCGCTGGATGCTGGATACCTGTGCAGGCGTGCTGGATCCCAGCGAGTATCCCGGCTTCGATGAGGAGGAGGGCGGCGCGCTGGCAAGCGTGGATGCTGAGGTGAGGGCAGCGGCACAGGCCTCTGGCCCCCGGCACATCTGCCTGGCTCTCTCTCTGCGCCCCAACGCTCCGCCTCTCGCCCTCTTCCTCCCTGCTCACGCCTACGTTTTCAACTCCTCCCTGCCTCCTGGCTTCCTTCCCTGTCGCCATCCTTTCTTGCCGCAGGTGGAGGAGGAGTTTGAGATCGACCTGAACGACAACGAGCCCGACTTCCTGCGGGGCCAGACCCAGAAGACGGGGGTGGAGATGAGCCCCATCAAGATTGTGAAGAACCCAGACGGCTCCATGCAGCGCGCCGCCATGACGCAGGTGACTTCCCGCCTGTGTGGGCTGTGGGCTTGGCTTGGTGGCGTCGGCGGCAGCCGGCCGCTCTGGGGTGGGGCGGGGCGAGGTGGCGGCGTGGCTGGTCACGAGCCTGCGCCTCCACGTCTACTGCATCACAAAGCCCCGGCTCTGCCGCCTCCCACCAACACCGCCACCGCCACCACCACACACCCAACCCTCGCCTCTCCCCTCCCTGTTTTGAACCTCCTGCCCCGCCCCCCTTCCCGCAGAGCGCTCTGGCCAAGGAGCGGCGGGAGCTGCGGGAGCAGCAGAACCGCATGCTGATCGAGGCCATCCCCAAGGACCTCTCCAAGCCCTGGGAGGATCCCATGGCGGGTGCGTGCGCTGCTGCGGCACCACCTGCACCTGCGGGCCCCCTGTAGGCTTCGCTTGGCTTGGCTCCTGGGCCTCGCCTGGCCCTTGCCTGTTGCTTGCAGGCGGGGAGCTGGCTGCGCGCTGCCTCTTGGGAGGACAGACAGGGCATTCATGAGCTCACCGCTGAACCCCTGCCCTGCTTGTGCTGCCCGCCTGCCCCGCAGACGCCAGCGAGCGTGCGCTGGCGCAGGAGCTGCGCGGCATCGGTGTGGGGGTGCAGGAGGTGCCGGAGTGGAAGCAGCAGGTGGGTCGCGGGGCTGCGCTGCTTGGCGGCGGCTGGCTGTGGGGGTCGTTGGGGGAGCGGCGCTGTGTGTGGGAAGCGGGAGGCCGCGTGTGAGCGGCTGCCTGCGAGCACACAACACACGCACCCCAAGCCCTTACCCCCGCCTGCCCCACTCCACTCCTTCTGCGCAAGCCACCCCGCTGTGCCACCTGCCCTGCTCGCCCACGCGCTCAATCCCTCTCCCGCGCCGCCCTCTGCTGCGCAGGCGCTGGGCAAGGCGCCCACCTTTGGCATCCGCGACAACCGCTCCATCAAGGACCAGCGCGAGTCGCTGCCCATCTATAAGCTGAGGGAGCAGCTGGTGCAGGCGGTGCACGACAACCAGGTGGGCTGCGTGTGTGCGCGTGCGGTGGGTGTGCTGGCGTGGCATGGCGTCTCATGCGTGTGGGCGTGCATGGTGGTGGCGGTGGCGGTCCCGTGCGCCCAGCTGGCTGGGCGTTTTCCCACCCACCGCTGGGCACTCCGCTCGCCGTGGCCACCTGCTGAGCCCCAGCCACCAGCCACCAGCCACCACCAGACGAAACAGACACGCACGTGTGCATGCGTATGCACTGATGCACCCTCTTGCTTGCCCCTACCCCTCTCCGCAGGTTCTGGTGGTGATTGGGGAGACGGGGTCAGGCAAGACCACCCAGATGACGCAGTACCTGGCGGAGTCGGGGTACACCAGCAAGGGCAAGATTGGTTGCACGCAGCCCAGGTGCGTGTGTGGGTGTGGGTGGGTGCCTGTGCGCGGTTGTTTGGCTTATGGCCACGGTGTGTGTGTGTGTGTGTGTGTGGAGGTCTGGTGGT